CGCTCTTCCCTGAAATCTGCCAAGTCTGGTTCGATTTCGGCCACGACCAGGTATACATACGTACACGTTTTCGTATCCCTCTGCCAGCCCGTCCGTACGCATACGCGTGCGTATTGAAGTGAGTGAGAGAGTTTTGATGGTGTGTGTGTGTGGTGCAGGTGTTTGCGTACCTGCTATTGTCAGCGAACACAGCGGGTACGGAGCTGGCGAGGACACTGAAGGACACGTGCACGGATAATAAAGCGTTCTGTGTGCAATCAGATGTAGCGATTGTTTTGGGTTTCGCCGGGTTTTTGTTTTTGGGCATCTCGTCCTTGTTTTCGGGTTTTCGGGTGGTTTGTTTTATAATCAACGGCTCTCGTTTTTATGTTTAGATTAATAGTAGACTAGGTTAATCCTGTATGAGATTACTTAAGATTGGACAGACAGTGAGGGAATATTTTGGGTAAGCGTGTGAGCAATTTCACGTTTTTACTGTGTGAGATTGATTTGCGTGTCTGTCTGCCTTTGATGTTTATGTTTGTGGCAGCGATGATGATGATGATGATGTTCTATAGTACATTTAGTACTGTGCACATGGGTTTATGTATTATTGGATTCCTCGCTAATCTTATTTCTTGTTTGAATAAGGTTCCTGTCAGGAGCCCGAGCTCAGCGCTTAGTGCACGACCACTCGGACGTGTCCTTTTTTTTCCCGTCTTGGCATGTGAATTCCGGGCATTGTTTTTGTTTTTCTCTCTATCTCAACAGTCATCTTCAAATTTTAGACAGCATTTCACAATCCCCAGTCGAATGGTGTATTAATTAATTTTATATATAGTATTTGATATTGTGATCAAGATTATTTTGCTTAAAAATAAATGAAAATACTTTTTTAATTTAATTTTTAATATTAAAATATCAAAACTAACTAAAAATACTAAGAAAAAATTAACTTTTAAAAAAGACATGGGTGAGCCACAAAAATGAAGAGTGCCGAAGCTTCAAGACAACTATTAATACCTGCTGGATCGGACACCCTACATAAATTAAAAAAAATATATATATTCTTACCAAACAGAGGAACAATCATGCGAGCAGTGGCATTTTGTTAGACTTAAAATGTAGGCTTTGCATATAAGCTTAGTTGTTGGGCACTTGGGCTTAATATATAGCTAAAAATTCATAAGTTTTTTTTTAAAAAAATATTTTTTAATCTTAAATTAATAAATATATGAGAAATAAAATATATATATATAAGAGTGAATCATTTTAGACCAAATAGTGTTAAATGTGAAAAATTATCATTTATCTAGTGACCTCAATTATTTACAAACCTTAATCATACCACAGTCGAAATATGAAAAGTTGTACAAAAATTGATTGTTGGAAAGGTAGGTGTCCACGTTTACAATAAACTTGATTTGTTATTGGTAGATAATTCGGTGGTGATTGTCAGTGTTATACTAACAAAAAAATAATCATGGACAAGATATGAGACAAATAGAAAAACAAGTTGGCATTTGCACTATAACCATTGACTAAAATGCAACTAAAAATGTGGTGTCGGTTCTATATATTTGCAGAGAATTTATTAACGAAACCTGAAAAAAATTTATGTGCGTGAAAGCGGTGCAGTTGCATGTTCAAACTTCTTGGAACTCGAAAACACATCAAGGGGTGTGACTCGAGCTTGGTTTGTACAGGCCCTGCGGTGAGAAAAAGAGGGGAGAGGATATGAGGGGAGGAAAGAGAGTCGTGGCAAGCCGAATCTAGCCCAAACGGCTAGAAAAAGAAAGCACCATTAATTCTAACAACGCCGCATTGAAATGATTGAATTTACGAGTTCACATATCCATCACTTATTACCACCTGAAAAGAATATATAATTTAAGGGCGAGTTTCCATTGTTAAGTGAGCAAATAACAGAAGATAAATATTAAATATACGAGCAATAATAAGCCGATCCACAAATATCTAACTCACTTGTCTAAATACCAATCTCAGTTCATCCAAAAACATACCATAAAAAAGGAAGAAGAAGCAGCAGCAGCAGCCAATCTCAATGGCTGCTTCTATGAATTTACAGAACCAAAATGTGTTTTATTTTTAATATCAACACATTAAAACAATTTAAATATAAAAATATTAATTAAAAATTAAAAAATATATAAAACTTCGGTTGAATTGCAATATAAAAATATTAATTTAAAATTAAAAATATATAAAACTCCGGTTGAATTGCGGTGAAGAACACCCTCCATCAAAGAAAGAACTTGGATCATTATAATGTAAATGGGATAATTACATCATAAGCACAGCAACTCTTCCCATTTTCTCAATCTACCATATGAATTTTATTTTTATTTTTGTTTCAAGCAGAACAATTTTTCAAACAAGTATTCTCTATCCAATTACTAGCTATATATTGCTCTGTTATCTGATGATGAGCCTTTTGCTCTGGAGTATTAGATTATGATTTCGTCCTTTTATTCGAATGAGCTTTCCCTCCCATATTATTTTGCTCCTCTTCTTCCTATCTCCTAATTAGATGCAAAGATAATTCAGATATTTACTAATTCGAAAGGAAAGAAAGGTTCCTTCCCAGAAATAAAAGGGCAAGATCATAATATAGTAGTTCGAGGCAAAGAATTTCGACAAAAAAAAAAGACTTGATCGGAAGACTCATGCAAGAAATACTGAGAATTGGTATACTTACAGTGCAATTATCCCTGATGTAGATCAAGGGGCGGAGGATAAAAAAGCAACAAGGATTTTGAAACGAAAAGATGTTGTGCAGAAAAGAAGAAAAAAGAAAGTTAAAGCAGACTCTGACTCCCTGCTTCCTGTCTGGCTGCTGTGCTTCTTTTTTTAATAAATAAATAAATAAATTATTCTGTTCTCACTCTGTCTTTTTCTCCCTTGTCCGAACCAACTCAACAAACAAAAACTCTCAATAATCTCTCCTCAAAGCCTGATCGGCGCCTTCTCTAGTACTGTTCTTCTAACTTCTAATCACCCCTTTATCCATAAATAACCCCAAACATTGCTCAGATTTTTTCCCTTTCCTTCTCTTCACGTTAGCTTCCTCTCAATCCTTTCTCTCCATGAAACATTGAAGCCCCATGTCATGTCTCGTGACTTCAACAACTCTCCTCCTCTCAAATCCCCACCTCAATTTCTCCGTGTCTCCCTTACAATCAATCCCTAACAACAACCTTCTTCACCCCTTTCCTCTCTCATGACTTCTCCCCCCCTTCCGCCCTATTTCTTTAACCGGAAAATAATTACCAGCAGTACCACCAACAGTCATGCGGTCTCCACAGCCCCACCGTAGCGGCGGGGACACCCAACAACACTTCCAATCCACCGTGTCAGTACAGAAGCTGAAACGATTCAACTCACTCATTCTTGTTTTTCGATTCGCTGCCTTTTGCTTCTCGCTTGCCTCTGCTGTTTTCATGCTCACAAACTCTAGAGGATCTGATTCCCTTCATTGGTACAATTTTGACGCATTCAGGTATCTACTTCTATATATATATATATACACACACATCACAAAATTCACTCTTTTTTTTCACTCCTAAGTCCAAGTATTTACTTTAAATTACTGTTTGGTTCGTCAGAAAGAAAATGCAAGGAATCAAAAGGGTGTTTCTTCAATTTCGAAAATTACGCTTTTAATTCAATTTTTTAATTTTTCAAATTATATCTTCCCGCTTTATGCCTTTTTCAGAAATTTATTGATAAAGTTTAAAATTGTTTGAGATTTTTATTTGTTATCACTTGACCCAAGTACTTCCCCGACAATTTTTACATGTATTGAAAAGAACAGTGTTGATTTTATCCAAAAAGAAAAAAAATCTTTCCTGAAGTTATTTAAAACATGTTGACAGATACGTTTTCGCTGCGAATGCGATCGTCGCCATCTACTCTCTATTCGAGATGGCTGCTTCCGTCTGGGAAATCTCAAGAAATGCCACGCTCTTCCCTGAAATCTGCCAAGTCTGGTTCGATTTCGGCCACGACCAGGTATACATACGTACACGTTTTCGTATCCCTCTGCCAGCCCGTCCGTACGCATACGCGTGCGTATTGAAGTGAGTGAGAGAGTTTTGATGGTGTGTGTGTGTGGTGCAGGTGTTTGCGTACCTGCTATTGTCAGCGAACACAGCGGGTACGGAGCTGGCGAGGACACTGAAGGACACGTGCACGGATAATAAAGCGTTCTGTGTGCAATCAGATGTAGCGATTGTTTTGGGTTTCGCCGGGTTTTTGTTTTTGGGCATCTCGTCCTTGTTTTCGGGTTTTCGGGTGGTTTGTTTTATAATCAACGGCTCTCGTTTTTATGTTTAGATTAATAGTAGACTAGGTTAATCCTGTATGAGATTACTTAAGATTGGACAGACAGTGAGGGAATATTTTGGGTAAGCGTGTGAGCAATTTCACGTTTTTACTGTGTGAGATTGATTTGCGTGTCTGTCTGCCTTTGATGTTTATGTTTGTGGCAGCGATGATGATGATGATGATGTTCTATAGTACATTTAGTACTGTGCACATGGGTTTATGTATTATTGGATTCCTCGCTAATCTTATTTCTTGTTTGAATAAGGTTCCTGTCAGGAGCCCGAGCTCAGCGCTTAGTGCACGACCACTCGGACGTGTCCTTTTTTTTCCCGTCTTGGCATGTGAATTCCGGGCATTGTTTTTGTTTTTCTCTCTATCTCAACAGTCATCTTCAAATTTTAGACAGCATTTCACAATCCCCAGTCGAATGGTGTATTAATTAATTTTATATATAGTATTTGATATTGTGATCAAGATTATTTTGCTTAAAAATAAATGAAAATACTTTTTTAATTTAATTTTTAATATTAAAATATCAAAACTAACTAAAAATACTAAAAAAATATTAACTTTTAAAAAAGACACGGGTGAGCCACAAAAATGAAGAGTGCCGAAATTTCATGAAAACTATTAATGCGCGCAAGCTGTTCCAAACATTCTATATAAATTAAAAAAAAAATATATATTCTTACCAAACATAAGAACAATCATGCGAGCAATGGCATTTTCGCCCAACTACGATATGAAAACCGTTGGCTAAAATCTCCATATAAATATGCAGCGCAGTGGTCACTTTAGAAGCCTTATCTAAAGAAAACATTCTCACGCAACTGGCTGTTCCTCCTTTTTAGTGACATCTGCAATCACTATAAGAAGAAGAAGAAGATCAAGAACCCCATGGGTATTGAAAGCTTTAGTGCTGCTGAGGATAAAAAATAATCACAAAATGGGCATTCACTTGGAAGAGTAGCCAATCATGCACCTGCCGTCGTCAAGAGCCATCTAATTTTAAGAATATTTGCAAGTACGATTGGTAACTGTTGCAGACCCTTTTGCTGGCGAGACCTCGTGAGAGAAACCCTCCTCGGCCAATGAAGCATGATAGCCATCATACAAAGACGATGCAGATTTTGTCACTAATGAGGGTGAAAGAAGGGATATTTAGCACATGGAGACATCCAGCATGGTGGAGCAATCGGTTTTCTCCACAAAGGGGCGCCGTTGTCCCTTCCACCAACAACACATTTCATATTCTGAAATCTTAAACAAGTTTGGAGCACTAAAGAATTCTCCTGAAAAGTCTATTTAAAACTTTCATAATGATCGAACTGGACATATTGACTCTGTTTGACTATCATTGTGGACCCTGAAGCGGGTGTACGGCACCCCTAATTTGAGTTGCCTTCATATTTTAGGCCAGCCATCACAAAAAGGCAAGCTATCACCAGAACAAATATCAAGATGCCGCTAAAATTGGCAAGAAATCCCAGGTCTTGAACATCTGTGGAGGCATAAATAAAAGCGAAATGCGTCAGCAACACGGCCAAAATTGACAGTGCCAAGACTAATTCTCTCTATGTGACCCAAGGTGCCACTGAGAGCTTATAGCTGCCCACCAACTCCCTTCAGTTTTTGAAGCACTACTGTTAAAACATATCCTTGAAGGCGCTAGTGCTCAAGAACACAACAGCGAAATTTGCAGAAACTGGACAGAACAACAAATTTATTTCCCTTAAAATTTCAAAAAAAACTTGGTAGCATCACTGGGACATCACATTCCATTTTAACCAACAGATTAATGATAGCGAAAATATGCAATTATCAATCCTAAAATCAAAAACTCAGAAAAGAACCCACAGCTAAGCACAACGTCGGTTTAAGCTAGGGGGTCACTTGGGCAATGACATGGACCCCCATTTAATAAAAGATCTTAAAGAATAAATAAAATATGTTTGTCAATGACACAACGTCGAGGATCTGATCAAGTTTTTATTATTCTGGTATTGTGAACATGGTAAATAATTTTTTTTAAAAAAAAAAAGAAATTGAGATTGGAGTCATTAGCTCGATTGAATTCAGTATAAATAAGTAATATATGTCAAAGAATCATCTCACCTAAAAGTTTAGGCTGTTAGATGAGGCTCTAGGATATGATTTATATTATTCTCTAACACACCCCCTCAAGTGAAAGTCCTTTGGGCTTGAAACTTGCACAGGACCACATTATCTTGTGCTTAATTTTTATCAAATAAATGGGGATAGTGAGATTCGACCTCGTGACCGTTTGGTCACCAAAATTCTGATACCATGTCAAAGAATCATCTCACCTAAAAGTTTAAGCTATTAGGTGAGGTCATAGGATATGATTTATATTATTCTCTAACAATATAATGACCTGATTTAAACCATATATAATGATAATATGTGAACCGTAAAAAAACATATAGTATCAATTAACCTAAACAAATAAGTCAACGATGTTGAAAACCCATTGTCACTTTATTGTTGACATCATTCAACCAAAAAAAGAGGAGTGTCTTTTTATATTAAATAAATTAATTTTATTTAATTAAAAAATACAATTTATTTTAAAAAAAACATAATTAAGAATAATAAAGGAAAAAATATTAGGTAGCTTAATTAAATAATAAAATTATAATTAAACTGAGGTAAGAGAAATCATAAAAAAAGAGCTCAATCTCCAACTAAAAAAAATTAAATGATAAATTCAAAAAAATATTAGCTTTTAAAAATGATTAAAAAAAACCCAAAACAATCTTAGAAAAACCTTATAAAGCTAAGCTAATTTTTAAAACTTGCAACTCATGAAATTTTAGATATGAACTTAATGAACATCAAATCCAAACCAATTAAATATTGAATAATTAAATCAGGTAAAAAAAGTTTCAATTTTAAAAATTCTGCAAAATAAAAAAAACAATGATAAAAAATAAAGATTAAATCTATTAGGAAAAAATAATTAAGGAGGGGGGAATCTAAAAACAAATGCAATTCTAAAAAATATATTAGCATGGAAAAAATAAAAATTAAAAGATTAAAGATTAAATTTGATAAAATAAAAAATTCAATAAGGATGAAATACAATAAAAAAAACCAATTCAATGAAATTTTTTTAAAATATAACAAAAAATAGAGAGAGTAAATCAAAATAAAATAAAAGTTTAGGGGCTAACATGAAAAACTAGGTGAGAGGGCGCAACAGCCAAGGAGAAGAGAGGAAAGAAAAAAAAAAGCGATCGTTTGTAACAAACTAGAGATCCTATCGATGCACACATCACATATTTATGAAAAGAATACTAGAAAAAGTGATGATATTTTGAAATGGTTTTTTCTACTACTTTAATTACATGTGTTATTTTAAAATGACGGGGTAGATAATACACTATTTTTTTCCCTCTTTTTATTTCAAAAAATACTTTAATAACCTCATCCCTATCTACTGATAAAAAAAAAAAAAAGGAGAGGAATGACAAAAACACTCTATACTCCAAAGAGTTGAATCACTTAGCATTAAACATGTAAGAACACAAAACCAACTCTAATGATAAAGAAAAGACAAAATTTTAAAAGGTCAGTGTTGTAATTTAATTGGAAAAAAAACCATATTAGCTCGGTTGCCCCCGCTCAATTTTAGAACACCAAAATTATATCCAATTAGCACCAAAGACAATTATGCCCTTAAAACGTAGAGAATTTTTTTTATTTTATTTAAAGGTCAAGGTTGGGAAAACATTATTGCATCCACGGTGAATGTGTCTATGTGCATTCTGTTTTTCCAACTACTTTTAGTTATTATTATTATTATTATTATTTATAATAATCCCCAGTTGCATACTGGCAAGATTCACCGAACATGCTCACCAAATACTTCCAATAATATATACGCTGATTTTAACAGGTGTCGTTATATCTAGCTATTTGTTTAAAAAACGAGGTCGGGGATTTAACATTTTTCATCCACCAAAAAACTGCAATTGTTCCTCTCTATTAATAAAACGAGACCAAAGAATTAGACATATTATACTTTTGACATGATTTATACTTTTTTTATGTTTTTTTAAAATATTTTTTAACTTAAAAAATATTAAAGTAACGATTTTTTTAGTATTTTCTAATAATTTTAATATATTTATGTTCAAAAATATTTTAGTATATTTTCAAGAAAAAAATTATTTTATATTCAATGCACCACAATTATAAACATCCTTTAAATACCTTTTTTTTTTCATGGCTTGATGGTTGGCAGCCAAAGCCATCATTCTAACGAAGGTGAAGCAAGAGATAATGAAAATAACCATGCATGCACCAAGGATATATATATATATATATATATATATAGCAAAAATAACCATACATGCAACAAGGATATATATATATATATATATATATATATATAGCAAAACAGAAAATAAAATTAAGTATTCATTTGAAAATAATTGATTTAATTGTGGTTAGTTGTGACTGCGACTTTTTAAATATTTTTTTAATATTTTAAGAACTGATATCATAATTTTTTTCACATGTTATTTTTAGAATCTATAGTTTTTTAAAAGTCAGGATGAAAAAACCATAATTTTTTTGAAGCGAATTCTTAAATAATACAATGGAAGAAGGAGAAGGTCATAGCTCGTATAATCCCATGAGTTTCGAAAGAACATGGAACGAAAGTTAACCGCAAGTCTCTCGATGGGGAAAGAAATGCGAATTGCCGAGTCTCGATAAGAAGTCGATGCGCTAAAAAGCGCAAGAAAGTTTACAGCTGTGGCTGCTGGGATTCGAGCCCAGGTCTCCACGGCCACAACGTGGAATTCTCACCACTAAACTACAGCCACAAGTTACCTGTGGATTGTACTAAATTATATGAAACGAGATTTGTTTATTTTTTATTTAATTAAACTTAATAAGATATGTGTTTTATATTTTAAGAAAAAATTCTGACAGGAATGTCACATGATCTAGGAAGAAAAGGAGTAAATTATAAAAATCATTTTAAAATATTATAAAATCATAATCATCGTCCAAGAACTTGACGATAATATAAAAACTCAAATTTAAGTGAATATTACAAGAACCGTATTTTATATACCAAATACCCCTAATATTGTTTTAATCACTCCCTCACTATTAAAGATGTTTTGGATATAAAAAGAGGTTTTTATACTATTTTCAGGATTTTAGATGATTACTATAATTTAATAATATTTTAGAAGGAATATTGGAAATTACCCTGTTTAAATTTTCGTAACCCCCTAGCATTACTTAAAAATATTATATCTGCTATGTTTTTTTTTTTTTTTTTGGTGCTATGTGATGCGCCTGTCAATAGATAAACAAGAATTAATCGAGTAATTTTTTGTTTAGTGACTTTCCCATTTTATTTTTAGAATACTTTTTTATTTTGTGTACATGAAAAGAAATAATATTTACTATCTTCTTCTTATGAGCTATGCTAGATTATCTGTTGCAGCACCATGGCCAATTACAAGCCTCGTCCAATAAAAAACAATTAAAATGGAGCCACTTCAATTTTAAACTATTTTTTTACGAAAATTGACGACTGCAGTTAGCAACTATCATTAACCCATTTTACCGGAACCTCTTATATGGAGGATGCGAATTTTGTTCATACTGACCATGGTAAAATATTGCACATCAATCGCATAACATTATCCAACAGTGTAAAGAACACATTCTACATATTCTAAAACCTTAAAAAGAAATTCAGAACATCAAGGAATGGAGGCAATCTATTTAAGGCTTTCATCGTGGTTAAGCTAAAATTGACACCGTTTGACTACCATGAAGACTCTTGTTTGGGTATCCCACGCTAGTTTCAGTTGCCTTCATATTTAGGGTCAGCCATCACATAATGGTAAGCGATCACCAGAACAAATATAAAAATGCCAAGAAAATTGGCAAAAAAACCCAGATCTTGATCATCAAACATCTGCAGAAGCACAGATAAAAGCCAAATGTATCAGCAACACAACAAAGTTTGTAACAACAGGTCTGTGATTTTATCCAACTCGCACAAAAAGCTCTTTTTACTATGGTCACAAGGTTGACAACCTCAAGGACATTAAGTTCAAAACCCTGTAGCATTCACTATTTCCATTCCCTTCCTGCTTCTTGTTTTACTCTTCAAAAGACGAGCATGAGGGGATTCGTATATCTAAGGAAATGGGTGTAATCAAGGTCTTTAAAGATCCATTTAGATGATCATATTCCCTGTCGACATCTTAGCAATCCCAGAAATGCAAGCATGCGATAAACAAGATGGATTGCAGTCATCATCACTAACTAGGCCTATTTGGTAACATGACATAGTTCTTATCAGTTTACAGCAACCTAGATGATTGCGTTTAACATTCTTTCCTTTTAGACTAAAGGAGGTTTCTGATACTCAGTGTAATTTGCTTGCAACCTGAAACCAAATTTATCAGCTTTATCAGCTTCTTTGATTCAAATGTATGTCTTGTTTAATTTCTTAGATTAACTATAACAAAATTTTTCCATGTTTCTGTAGAGGCATTAACTCCAAAAATCAGCACCTATCCTTACTCTACGCAGACAGTGCAGCTAAATAGGACCAATATATCTTAATGCATATGTTCTAAAGATGTATCGAATCAGCTAGTTTCAAACATCAAACTCACAGTGACATCACTGCAAACCCTTTCACAAACAATGCTACCCGAAACAAGCTCAAGCGGCATTTACCATTTCCGTAGAACAATGTATGAGATGCAAACTACAGTCAAACAAATTGTAATTTTCTACAACCGGCTACTAATTTCACGCAATCAAATGCAATTTCCCATTACGGGAGCACTCCAGAATTCATGATCAAATAACATTCACGGACCCAGAAAAAGTATTACAGTGGATAAAAAAAATGAAGGGAAAGAATGCGATTAGCAGTGGGATTCGAACCCACGACCTACAGATCCGGAGTCTAACGCGATATCCACTCCGCTATGCGATCACTTGTGAATTTTTATTCTCACTGTTTGAATTATTAATCAGTGTTTAATGAATTCTATATCAATCGTATTCTCCTCCGGGAAAAATCATGTAAATACAGCAGCACAATAAAATTTCAAACAATAAAAAAGAAGAAAAGGCTAACTTCGATGCAATTACTTGTTATGATTAAACAGGAACATATAGATCTACGATCTCTACTGCGGTTGGGGACACCGGTAGTCGAAAACAGGAGAGAAAATTACATGACATACCTTTTCAGCTGATCTGAAGCGAGAAGGCCAAGACAGTGTGTCTGAATCTCAAACGATGGGAGTAATCGCTCCCTCTCCTGTCTCTTCGACACCGTCTCTTTCTGGCGATCTCTCAGTTTTAGCAGCAGCAGCAGCTTTGGAATGCATGCAAGGCAGGTTTTGACTATAGGTCGTTTTTTGTTATATGGGCTTAATGGCCCATACTTATTAAAAGCCCCGTGAAAGGGATTGGATTTTTTTCTCCGATTATCCAAAGCCCAAGGTGATTGTGAATGACATCAAATTTGACAATTTATGTAATTGTTCATGAAGGATTTCGAAAATTAGTTAAATTAACACAGTTTTTTAGCTCCCCGACTGAGTGAACATTGGCTAAAATTCAAAAATTATTTTTAAAAATTATTTTAATGTTATAATATCAAAAATAAATTTAAAATTTATTTTAATATATTTTTAAATAAAAAATACCTTTAAAAATAACCAAAGTAATAGTATCAAACACATAAATTACCACTCCATGACTTTATAAAGTCTCCCTCCACTAGCTAGCAGCTAATTATTGTTATTTTCTTTTACAAAATTCATCATGTGACATCATCGTCTCTTGTTTAAAAATATATATATTTTAAACTCTCGAGTTTCCTCCTGCAAATTGCAAAATCAAATCAAATCCTCTTCCTTTTTTTTTTTTTTTATTCATATGGCCATGTGGATTTCGGTCTCTGCTTCCTGTGTTATTCAATTCGGGAGACTTCCACACATATATAAACTTTCAAACCAAAATTAAATTTGTTGTAAATCTAGGCGGGCCATATATATTTTTAATTTAAAATTTAATTTCATATAATTAGATTGATATGGTTTTAAAAAAAATTTAAAAAAAAAGAGGTTTATATAAAAGGTGTTCCACTTTCAACTCTTGTAGTTTTTTTTTATATATATATAATCCATGGAATGCCCGGATCCATTTATACACATCATAATGAATTTTTGAATTCATTAAATATTTTGTAAGCCTAATTAATTAGATAAATTACTATAAAAATAACAAATATGTACAAGGATCGGACAGATAAAAAGAAAGAAAACAAGTCCCCGTTGGTGCACTCTTGTAGTTTTTGTTAATATTAGAGGGCTGCTTTTGCCCCCAAATCACCGTTATAATTTAAAATAATCACGTTGACCGTAAGTTCCCAGAATTACCAAGCGGCAGTCAATCACAGCAAATCTTGTCACGCATAAAACAAACATCTACGTGAAATTGAGTTTTAGGGTCTTAAACCCGTCTAAAATTAACAAAAACTTAAAGAATTGGAATTTTTTTATTTTAAAAAAATAATCTAAATCCTCCTACAAACTTAAAGAATTAATAAAAAACAGTCGTGGATTTTACGTGTAAGAAACCAAAAATAAAATTATGTTTAGGTCCCTTCAACCACAAGCACCACCGTCGTAAAAAACGTATTTCCACAGCCAAATCCCGATAAAATCCAAACCCTTTAGAATTTTCACCATATTATCAGATTCAACTTTCTGAAACACAGTTTATGGGAGAACGGGGGGAATTCAAGGGAGATCAGATCCTCGGGAAATCCAACTCCTCACTCACCCTGCACAGTAAACAAGGATCGGTCTTGAACTCTGCAATCATCTACAGGTTCTCGGAGAGTAAATAGAAGGGAGAAAGAGTGATAAAGAAGGCTTCAAGCTTGTTTATGTTTTTTGAGATAAGAAATTGAACCATGTACGATGCCGGTAGCTCACAAGGAAATGTCAACACTTGTGCGACCACACGCATACTGTAGACGCTACCTTACCCGGCCAGACCCCGTCGCCCAGGATTACAATTTAATTTGAATTTGATATTACCATCTCAACTAACTTGAATGAATATTTTTTGTTAAACAGTCGTGCTGCTTCATGGATAATAAATATTGTATATATTAGGATATTTAATTTGAAATAAATATTATCAAACATGACTAGAAACCCAATCTAATATATTTATATTTCGAATATGATACAATATAAACCTTTTTAGTACTAACATAGCGCATATACTAAATAAATATTTATTTTTATTTTTTATTAAATAATAAATATGGATTGAATATCGAAAAGAGAAATAAATAGTGTACTCATAGTTACCCATGTACAGAAACGGATGTGGTCAAAATAAAAGAAAACTCGGACTGACGTGTCGTTACCATTACTGTCACTAGACTGTAAAGTCTTTCGATTGTAACAGAACATGTTCTCCTTCTCTCTGGCCTGTGACGACCGCGAATTACGCTTCCTCGAAATTTCAATCTAACCTTGAACACTATATAACTATCTGCCCTGTCTCTCAACATCCGCCGTCCTTCAATCCCTTCAAAATATTACAACAAAATATTTTTTCCCTCAAATTATTTCAGCAACGAAAGTCTGCGTGGTAATTAAATCTCAATTTCCATTCGTTTTTATAGGGATTTTTGGTCGTCTGGGGAAAAAAAATGGTCATGGGATTGAGAGATTTTGAGATTCAGATCTAAGTTTTTTTTTGTTTTTTTTCAATAACTGGTGGGGTATGGTTTTTCGTTGATTTGAAGCATTGTACATTTCGTGTTTTTGAAGTCTTATTTAATTTACGCGTCCCTCCTTTTCTCTCTCACTAGCTGTTGTTGTTTGTTGGTGTGTTTATTATCATGATTAGTTGTTAACCATCTATTTTTTAATCTAATTTGGTTACAATCGAGTTCTCTATATAAAGTTGTAGTCTTTGAGTTTCATGACTCGCAGCGAAAAAAGTTTGAGATTTTGACTCTATTTTTTCACACCACTCAGGTGAACTGGATTTATTATCATGTTTTAAATTGAAACTTGCTGGCTGGTTTGATTTATGATTTTGATTTGTGGGTTATTTATGAATGTGAGGATTATGCAATGTTTTGTTTCTGGGTTGTTTATAAAATTTATGGTGGATTGATTTTTTTTTATTTTTAATTTTCATGATTTTCAGAAATTGGACAAGAATGTCTAAGGAAGCATCGAATGGAGATCACAATTCTGCAGCAAAAGCTCCACCAACTCCATCTCCTTTAAGATTTTCTAAGTTCTTTCAGGTATAACTATTTGGCAGTTCTTTTTTCATTTTAAATTGGCGTGATCTCTCTCTTTTTTCCTTCCTATTTGGTACGATCCATGATCCTGAATGGCACAAATCGTGATAAATCTTTTTCAACCTACATATTGATACCCAATTTGGGATTTACTTTTTTCCCCCCTTTAGTTCTAGTCTTTTTGGTTAGCAATGTAACTCCTCTTGTTGCATTTAGTTTTGGATTGTGAGAAAAAGAAGTTGTAATAGCAAAATTGATTGATATTTAGTTGGTTCTGAGAAAATGCTTGCCACTGCCAGATCACGTTTGATGAGATGATTTCTGTTTTACAGATCGTGTACTTATGCATGAGCACCTGATCTTATTTGAGATTGTTTTTGGTTATGCTCGCGGGTGATTGTTTGGTAGTATTATCAGAAATAAATATTTTTGATATGATTCTTCATTATTTTCTTTTTCCTTTTGTTGGCAGTCTAATATGAGGATTTTGATAACTGGAGGAGCTGGATTTATCGGCTCCCACCTGGTGGACAGGTTGATGGAAAATGAAAAGAATGAGGTGAGCGCATTTTGTTTCAAAATCATCTGAAGATTGACAGGCTTTTATCATCTGGCTATGGGTGTTTTGCTTTAATAAGAAAATACGGTTTCTCAGCCAATAAAGAAAGGAAAGCATTTCCACTCATGCATAGAATGTAAATTTTTTTTGTAAATAAACATTTGAATTTCATGGTTGGTCTATTCTAATAATGTTTATTATGCCTCTTAGGTTATCGTGGCGGATAATTATTTCACTGGCTCAAAGGACAACCTAAAGAAATGGATTGGTCATCCAAGATTTGAGCTCATTCGTCATGGTACTGCTGATTTTGACTTATGCGTCCAGCAGTTCAAAGCCAATGCATGTTGACAATGTCTTACCTTCTCTGTTGTCCATTAATTGAGGGCTGTGTTGATGATGCTTTGATTTTGTGCAGATGTCACTGAGCCGTTGCTAGTTGAGGTTGATCAAATTTATCACCTTGCTTGCCCTGCTTCTCCAATCTTCTACAAATACAATCCTGTAAAGGTATGCCTGTGTATATCATTCTCCTTTCCCTTTCTATATATTTTTTTTGCTCCTCCCTCCCTCTCTAGTGAAAGCAGTTCTCTTAAGTTCTTCTAACTGTGATCTACCCTGATTTTGACGTTGCATTGCCATTTGACCTGTAAAACTGCTACGCATGACAGACCATAAAGACAAATGTGATCGGGACATTGAATATGTTGGGACTTGCCAAGCGAGTTGGGGCAAGGTTTGAGACTACTATGCTATCTCTTAGTTAATAATTATTCATAATGTATGATCCCCTGTTACTGATGCTTCAGTAATTGACAAACAGGATTTTGCTTACTTCAACTTCTGAGGTCTATGGAGATCCACTCATCCATCCTCAGAATGAGAGCTACTGGGGAAATGTCAACCCAATTGGTGCGTTTAACTGTTCTTAGATTTCTATTAACTTCTATTATGTGGAAAAAAATCTCTTTAAAGGTTTTCCATGCAACTTCGTAACCTTCTTTTTATAAAATCTTAGCATGCAACTTAGTATGGGGTAGGGGATGAGCTCTTAGCATTTAACATATGAAATCTTCTCTTCCAGCTGTTTATTTGATTGAAGATGCCATATATACTAAATTTCAGGAGAGCTTTAGTTTCTGGAATTTTACTACATGGAAAATATTTTTGTTGTCATTCTCTATTTGAAAAATAAAAATTGTACAATAACTTTTGCCGATGTGTTGGTGAAATTTTTGCAGGAGTCAGAAGCTGCTATGATGAAGGAAAGAGAGTGGCTGAAACTTTGATGTTTGATTATCATAGGCAGCATGGGATAGGTATATAGCTTTTGAAGTACGTTCTTTTTTTTGTGATTTTCCCATGTCTAAAATATCTAAAATAAAATTTGTTCCTCTGCAGAGATAAGAATTGCCAGAATTTTCAACACTTATGGACCCAGAATGAACATTGATGATGGTCGTGTTGTCAGCAATTTCATAGCCCAAGCCATCCGGTAAAATGTTAAAACAACAGCTCCTGTAGTTGTTTGAAACAGTTAAGCCTGTTGGTAATTATATTATTGTTGCAGCTTTACAACTTAATGCCAATTGCTCTGTGAATTTATGCAGTAACGAGCCTTTGACTGTTCAAGCACCCGGAACCCAAACCCGGAGTTTCTGTTACGTGTCTGACATGGTAGGCAAGAAATTGTCCAGTGCTTTAAATGATGGTAGATGATTTAAGTTGTCTTGATTGGGTCTTAATATTAGCATTCCCCTAAATTCGTTATTATCAAATATTTGAAGGTTGATGGCCTTATCCGACTAATGGAAGGAGAGAACACTGGGCCCATCAATATTGGAAATCCAGGTTATTCCTCAAGCTCTGTAACAAATCACTTGGTGTTCTTCAATGATGTATTTCATGAAAAAAATGGAAACTATTTCCCATATTAATCCAATGCTTGATTTTTCAGGTGAATTCACCATGATCGAGCTTGCAGAGACTGTCAAGGAGGTTAGTTTCAATTTGTCTGCATCTCCTCCTGGACGAGTTGTATTTTCCACGTGTGGGGTTTACTGGCTATGAGTTGAAAACAAAAACAAAACAAAAAAAAAACATTTTATTCAAATCAAACTTTTCATACATAAATTTGGCTCTTTGATTAACCTTACCATGTTCATTGTCAGCTTATCAATCCTGAAGTAAAGATCATATCAGTGGAGAACACACCAGATGATCCTCGTCAGAGGAAGCCAGACATCACAAAAGCAAAAGAATTGTTAGGCTGGGAACCAAAGATCAAGCTGCGCGATGGTCTCCCTCTCATGGAGGAAGATTTCCGACAGAGGCTTGGAGTTCCCAGAAAGAACTGAACCAAGTGAACTTGTCCGTAGCAGTTATTCACGCTCAGCTTCTGGGTTCCTTGCCCCCGGGGTCTCATTTTTCTTTTTATCCTATTATATTATGATTTGGAATAAATAGCTGGAATTTTTATAATTGGAAGTAGCCAATCGCATGATGTGTGGAACTTATCCCCTCCTGTTGCAGTGTGAAGGTTTATGGCATAATACAAGGAAATTATATTTGCCCTTTGAGTTTATACTATGGTCATTATGTTTAAACTTTATTATAACATGTACAGTCTATATTTAGTAGATTTTGCAGTGTGAAGGTTTATGGCATAATACAAGGTTATAAATAATGTTTAATTTATCATAAACTTTATAGTTCTGCTATGTGCTTTGCAAGTGCGTACTGCATTTCTAGCTATTCTGGAATGAATATATAAGAATGAAGAGACCAGGTGAAGGTGGAACGGATTGCCATGCATTTTTCGTAGCTTCCTCCACAACTAGTCTTAACCACCTACTAGCCTGTTGAGATGATATTTATTTTTTAAAATATTTTTATTTGAAAATATATTAAATTTAATATTTTTTAATATATATATATATATTAAAATAACTAGAATTAAAAAAATACAAAAATACAAAACTTTTAAATATTTTGAAAAATATTTTTAAAATAAAAATATAAAAATAAAAGTGCTTTTTAGTTGATGTTTTGTCTCAAGCCTAGATTCTTATTAGTTTGATAAGGACTATGACGGTAGAATGATGATGGTTTAAAGTCAATTAAAAAAATTATTTTAATATAAAAATTACGCTAAAACATAAATTGTTTCTATTTTAAACAAAAAAATTATTTTTAAAAAAAATTAAACGCTTTTCCAGCAGTTCATTTTTACATTTTTCAGTGACAAGTCAATTTTTGGCTTTGGACTCCTACAAATGAAACTGATTTTCTAACGTTGAAAATAATAATAAAAATAATAATTATTTATAGACCCCCGCGCGCGCGCGCCCGACTGAACCTGCACGTCAATATAGACTAATCAGCTTGCCCTAGCCTGCAATGACCTGCCAATTTTGAAATTGTTAAAAAAAAAAAAAACTCAATTCGTCCAATTCCCAATTCAATATATACAGAATCTATAAAAATTAAAAATATTACATTGCAGCTACGATTATATCTGGAAAAAAGCTTAAGAAAAAAGAAGTATGCTTACATTATTTACAAATATTAGAACTTAGAGATTATTTGAAAATATGGTTAAAATAGTATTTTTTAAAATTTTAATTTTTTTAATTAATTTTTTTAATAAAAAATTTGAATGTAGTTGAAATGTAAAAATTAATTTTTTATGTTATTGAATTTTTTTGATATGTTAATGTAAAAAATAATTTTTAAAAACAAAAAAAATATTTTAAAAAATAATTATTATCACACTTTCAAATACTTTCTCCTTATAATCTCTAATAGAAAAATGAAATCTCGAATAGAAGAATTTAATGAATAAAATATCTTCTATGATGTCAGTGTAATTAAATTCACGAGATTGTAGAAATCATAACAATTAATCTTGAAAAATCTCTTAATTCTTATATAGTAAATAATGTCGTCAATTTGAATTCCCAGCTACCGTTTTTTAAATTTTTTTATTTGCTGGAGTCGGGCAATTTTCTTTCATGAAGATGGCAATACAGAAGGATGCCACGGAGCTTAATTATGGCAGATCAACAGAACAGATTGCGCATGAAGAACAGTTACAACAGTAAATACAGAGAATTAAGATGCCTTAATAGAATAAATCACAGCCTGGAACAAGGAGATTCAGATTTCCCAGCCAAGTACAGGTATATAAGCCAGACTTTGTCACTACAAACTAATTAACAAAATACAAATAGTAGGCAAAAGAAGCTGGTCAAGTTAGCGTGGTTACACTATGGCCAAAGATGTTCATCAGGAATCTACATCCTCCAAAGATGGGTCAAATGGTTGTTGTTCATAGCATTTCACACAAAGATGATGATGATATCCTTTCCATCTCTGGTCATGAAGATGGCTCCCCGGTGCTGCGGATCGCACATCAAGCCTGCAAGCAGCTACAGGCATTGCTTTGGGAAGACCTCTACCTGTGTTGAGGTATACAAAAAGTTAAGCTGTCAATGCTTATTGCAGGGAGCATAAGTTGTTTGCTGGGGTTGTTCAGCTAGCGCACTGAGCGGAAACAAGTGCTTGCAGCATCTAGCCCGAAAATTGGTTCCGATGAGACATCATCTAAAAGGAATGATGTGCTCTTGTTGTTTCCTAGAGAGATTGGAAGCATTACTTCTCAAAAAAAATTAAAAAAATTGTGGATGCATGGGATGGGTGCAGGCGCGCAGCATAAGCTTCTATTTTATTTTTAAAGAGTGTTATGGATGGATGGGATTGATATGGATGTCTGTCTGTGCTCCATATGATATTTTTTTTAGATATGCGCAATTCCCATTAAGGATATGAATATAACATTTTAGATAGGATCTTGCGAAATAAAATCCCATGTGGAGTAAGTTTATCAAAGGAATTTTTCTGTGATGTGAGTGTAAAATCATGTGATACGATATAATCTTGAAAAATCTCTATATTGTATAAAATATTGTTAATTTGATTTCCCAATCACCTATAAATATGTAAATTAAACTTTGAAGTCATCAAATAATATTAACAAAATAAAACATGGGAATCAGAGACTCCGTGGCTGTTAATTAAGAAGTGCATGATAAAGGAGCAACGGATGAAAGTTCATTTGCAGGGCAAATTTCTTTATAGCATCTGTGTAACTTCTGATGCCATTTTTGAAAATCCAACAAGATTGGCTATGTATGGTATGACAGTGTACCAACTACCAAATGACATGGCTTTCAATTAATAAGATTTGAAATGAGATTTCTAAGCTTCTGCAGCTACTTGAGCCTGAGGTTTTTTCTGCTTGCTTTTCACAGGCTTCTTAGTTGCTGCTTCGTCTTCCAGTTCTGTTTTATTCTCAATCCTTGCAAAAACTGGTTTAGGTTGAGCCATGACCTGGCCACCCTTCAGGCCACCCCACTTTGTCCCACTCTACAATGCAAAACCATAGGATAAATTAGTAACACAACTAGTTGACGTACATACATACATTGATATTGTGTGCAGGTGTGTGTGAGTGTTTGTGGAGAGAGAGAGACCCAGGTGACTGTGTTAAAATGGTCCTTCGAGTAGCCAAGCTGTTCATATATTCTCCAACAGAAACTTGGGGCAACAGGGGATAAAGCAATTGCTACGATCCTCATTGCTTCCAATATAATTACAAGATCCTGAACCATAACAACCAAAAAGAAAGCAACAGTTAATAACATATCTAGGTCATTAAGTTGAAATGCCATGATTATCTTGTTTCATACCATTGAATGCTGATAAATAGAATTATCTGGAACAACAGGTTAACCCATTGCCTTACATTAGAATATGTAACCAGAAAGTCGGGACATCCAAGACTGAAATATTTCTTCTCTAAATTTTTTTTTTTTTCAAATGATGGTCAGACCAAATTACGCTGAAGATGTTTTTGAAAGAAAAAAATTTAACATGCGAAACCTTTGCAGCAGCTTCAGAAGCAGCACCCCCTTGCTTGAATAGGGTCCAAGGTGCATTCTCATCCATGTAGGCATTCCCGGCATTACCAATCTCTAGTACAGCCTCACAAGCCGATGATAGTGAGAGATTTTCATAATGAATTCGAGCCTTTTCAACCTGCAAGAGTGAGTATTTGGATCAGATTAAAAGAATTGTTGTGAAGTGACTTAGGATTGCATGGCAACAGTCAGAGAGAGTGAGTTTCCGGACAGAATCCTAAGGCACAAGTGATAAAGCTAGCTAGTGTGGAATTATCATGGATTATTATGATAGAAACAACCAAGAACGCTAACTAAGGCACAAGTAATAAAACAAGTCAGAGAGAGTGAGTTTCCAGACAGAGAATGCCAAGGCACAAGTAACAAAACTAGCTAATGTGGAAAAAGCATAGATTACTATGATAGAAACAACCAAGAACTCTAATTATGCAATAGAATGGGAACCTCTTAACACTCAAAATGAATGTCCGAAGAGCTTTTAGATACAAAAAAATATAGTGATTATTAATATCTAAGCACATGTTTGGAAGCAGGGTTTATATAGATCCACCATTCTTAAATTTGCGGTCAACTAATTGATATTCATTGACTGCTCGCAAATATCATCATGGTCTATTAAAGTCCTGCAAGCTTGATGCATTTTTATTACAGCATCTAAAGTTGGCTGAAATTATGCTGCAGTCAAGGTTCACAACAGTCCTAGAATGAGAAATTGGGAAGACATTAAAAAGTTCACCATATTGCTAAGCTGCAATCAAGGTTCCTGGTGAGGTTATATTAGAAGCACAATCAAACCCTACCATTTACATTGGAAAAGCAAGAGTTCATCCAACATGCTGACTACACTAATATCACAAATTTCATGCAGCCTTACCAATTTCTCAACAGTGTCCTTCAATGCATTTCCTTCAGCCGCAACAGCTGAATCAACCACCAAAGTTGATTGACAGTTCTTTTTAAGAAGTCCAAGTGTGCGATTAAGAAGGTTTCCTGTGTAGAATGAGTTCAGACCACGCACACCTTTTTAAAATGAAACAAAACCGTGCACTTGGCATAATCACAAAGGCTAGAATAAAGTCATAAATATTCAAACTAGAAATACCTATGGTATTTGCGAGATGTGCATTGACAATATTGATGAAACGTTCTTCTGAATAGTCCCCATCACTACCAAATTCCACCTCTCTAAGGAAGAAATACCTAACCGCATCTGACCCAAAGTTATGAACCAACTCATTTGGTTCAAGCGTATTCCCCAGTGACTTCCCCATCTTCATACCATCCTATAATTTTCAAAATAAAAAGCATTGCTGCATGAAATAACATTAGGTGTAAGAAAAAAAAACAAAAACTAATGACTGGCTTGGCTCACCCAGGCAACACTGTACTAAAGCCAGAATCAAATTTTACATCCAAAAATATACATTAACATAACTTCATATCTCAGGGCATTTCAAATACATGAGAGAGAATCAGCTAAGAAAATGAAGAAAATTTCCTTTTCTCTCTCTCTCTCTCTTTGTGGATAAGTAAATTTCCTCTACAAAAAATGTCCAAAATACTAGTGCTAGATCATCCATCATTAATTTTGTTGATATTTT